TCTGAACTGGTTTTGTGTGTGCAGTCACAGTATAAGTGTGGTCACAATAAAAGCAACTGCAGGTGATAACAATTTTGTTGCTATGATTACACACTAATTCTATAGTCTGTGGAATATCTGTCCCTTTTTAATTTTGCACAAATATAAGAAAAGCAAATTCTGGCTCCCCTAGTGAAAATACCACTCCATTGCAGGAGATTTCTATCTAGGAACATAAACTGTAGTGTTGTAGATATTTAAGGTAGCATACACAAATTAATACAGAAATGTATTAATGAAAAGTTTCCTCAGGAACAAACAATATTCATTATGGCAATTTATAGCATCTAAAGGCTTCTTTCCTAAAAGGTACAATGGTTGTTACTTAACACCTCTACTTGTGATTATTACAATAATAGTATAGATCCACAATAAAATCTAATGGTCACTAAGTAAAATTATGTTTGTAAAGGACATTTAGATATTTTCACTGGACTCTTTGTAAAGCTTATTCAGTGTTGCATGCCTTGTCAGCAATGGAAGATCAACATTTTTTCAGAAATCTTTGTTCAGTGAAACATATAAAGCACTAAACATGTTCAAAATGTATATATATGTGTGGGTGCGTGCATTTCTCTCTGCATCTTGGTGTCACTATTATATCCATAAAAATGCACAAGTTAATCTTAAATTACCTAAAATGGGTCAGTTCATTCCTGGTGTAACTCAATGAACCAATTACTACAATTACACCAAGGATTAATTTGGTTTATTTTTCAAACTTTTCAACGCTAACTCGTCTTCCTCATTATGTTCGTCTATGAGACATTCTAGTCATAGCTTCTTAAATAAGTGAAAAGACCAGTAAATTGTCAAGACAGTTGCATTATCACATTAATTAAACTGCAGTTGAGGTTCTAACAGTAACGGTTCCTGAAACACCAAGAGAACATTTCTTAGGAACATCACGTTTCTTATGAAACAATGAAATATTTATATGACCATATGAAGCATTATTAATTTTTTCAAGCTTTTCACACAGTTGCACATTTTAAATAATAACTCTGATTTAAAAGCATAACGAAAGTTCAAAAACACAATAAATGAAGAGGTCTTGTGTGGAGAGTCTACTGTAATTAAGACTAGAGATTCAATACCTATTGCTACCAGCCAGGTATCATAGCAACCTTGTGTCACTGAATACTGCTAGAAAACTGTTCAGCACCAGCAAGAGTCTGCTTTCGGAAAATCTGCAATGGCACTACATATTGTCAACATCTGTGGTGTTGCCATGGGCACCACGACAAAGAAATCGATGTTAAAAGGTACGAAAAGAGAATTGACAAGAAGAATCCTGGGGGTAGTAGATGGCAAAATATAAGTAGAAATGAAGGATCATTTTATCAAAAGAATAGTTAAGTAACTTATGCATCTACATCCTAATATCCATTTATATGAGCAGGAGAGACCAAATAATATGGAGTTATAATAGTGATTAAATATGTACCAGTGTTAGAAACAGTACCGTATTGTATACTAAAACTCTACACTTGTATCTTTTATTGCCAGTTTTAATCTGAAACTAAAACAAAGCCACTTTTAAAATAATATTTAAACTTCCACCTATAAACTCTAGATAGTCTTGTATAAATCTGCAGAAAAGAAAAAAGCAGGTTACGATGAACAAGAGCCCAATATTGATTTTTCTGCGGTGCAGTAAAGCATCTCCATTCTATTTGGCTGCTGTCAAAGCCACTCTTTAACAGCTGGAGTCAAATTGCACTATTTACAGCAAGAGCTCTTGTCAAGTGGACCATAAGTATTCTAACAATACACTATTCAAATGGCACTTTGCCACACAAATTGCTGACTTGATGAATACCCTATGTCAATGACTAAGGCCAATATAAAAGTTTCATTTTTATTAGAGGTTTTACATTCACACATTAACTAAAGCTTTCTTTGAAGAACTATTCAGCTATATATTTCAGGCCTTTTGACGTTGAAAATAATTAAAATCTGTTTAAATACATCAAGGGTATTTGACAACATTAATATGGATTTTGTGTTAACTGCATTGGTCACACCCTTCTGTTATTGGTACTCCCACTGGCACGTGCAGTACAATAAAAGAATTAAAATGGCCAAAGCACCATGAAATCAAAGCATTCTTCTTTTGTATCTGTGATTTACATGATGACAAATGTTTTGATACAAGAAAGCCTTTGAAGTCGCATTGTGATATGAGGAGTTTTTTTCCTTTCTTCCGAGCATGGGGTAAATGTGCATTCATTAACTTGCAGACATTTTTTATCATATAGTATTACTAATAGAATATACTATCATCTTTAAAACACAAAACCAGGGCCAAATCCTGCTTGCCTTGCTCATGTGAATAGTCTCATTGTGTGAAACTGGGACTAACTTGCAAGAATAAGGCAAACAGGATTGGACTCCTGCTTTTCCAGTTTTCACGATTCTTCGTACCCATCTTTTGAATTGGAGCCTATCTCACACATTTTTATGCTAAAAGATGGAGGCAAAATGTAAACTGTAATACTGATAATTAAATATATTTTAGAAAAAGGTGGAAACAGAATATGTCCTATTCACTATTTGCTGGTAAAAACTGGCGTATTATTAAAAACTTGGCATTGCCAGTAGATCTCTCAAGAATAGTTTGTCAAACAGGCAATTTAAGAAATCATGACCACACCCAGACCTGTTAAAGATCACATTTGCCATTCAGATATTCGTGTTCTGTGGTTTTCATGTTAATCTGACAGAAATGTGGGGAGAAGTCCTTGCTCCACTGAAGTCAATGTCAAAACTCCCACTGATTTCAATGGGATCAGGATTTCACCCGTAACGTTTATTTGTAGACTGCAATCTAAGATTATTTTAAAACATTGTTATGAATTGATGTGACAAGTGTGAACACTATGAAGAATTAAAGACTCCTACATTAAAAAAAAATACCATTACAGGAATATTTTATAACAAGTAATTAATTACTTTAAAGATAGGGGGCCAGATCATCATCTCCCAAAGTATAACCCAAAAGAGGAGGCTCTCTGCGAGGAAACATTCTGCTGCGTCCTCATGGAGATCCGCTGCATCATCCCATCCCCAACACAGAAAAAGACATTGGCCCTGCCCCAAATCCGTTGAATTTCTTTCCCCATGAGGGTCAGCAATAAGAGGTTCTGTACCCTCTCTGGCCCCCTGTGGCTCTCAGTGGTTTTCTGGAGTTGCATTGCCAGGGGATCTCCTTAGTCATGTCTGCCCTCTAGTGTACCCACCCCATACCCAACCCTAGGCAGTCTCCAGCACTTCCCAAACCATATATGCAGACCATCCTCTGTGCTGTCTGGAGGAAGGGTGGAAGTGCTGCAGAAGTGACAAGACAAGTTTGTTGTGTGAGGGGTTTTCATGGGTGGGGAGTCCCTTCCATTTGTGAATCTCAGAGGAAAAATGCAAGCCACGATATCTACATTTAATACACATCAGGAACAAACAATACAAATCAAGCTTTTTTGGCAGACTTGGAGAAACCATCAATAATTTCCTTTTCAATAATAGATTTACAAGTGGACAACAGAAATGCAATTTATTGCTGACCATCAAAAATAAATTGTGAAAAAATGGGACACTACAGAACTGATAAGTGATTGCTTAAGAAACATGTTTATAGAACTACTGTACTATTTCATCTCCACCAGCTCTGAATAATAAAGCTATCAAATGATCATATATTGCAATCAGCCACAATGTGCTAGTTAAGATACCCATTTCATAATCAGCTCAAAATCATGGTTTTTTATTCAAGGGACAGTAATTTTTCTTCTGACCACTCAGTTAAATTTACTAAGTTAAAATGCATTAGAAAAAAAAATCAAGCTTCACGGTTAACTCCTAATACTACTTGTTTCTGTTTTATTTATTCTAAAAATAATGTAGGAAAAAGCCATTCTTTCTGATAATACAATAGTGAGAATCAGATTCTGTGTCAATAGCCTACTAGTGCACCATCTGCCCTGCAAGATGCTCAGCAGGATTATGCTCTAATAAGACTTTTCAGCAAATGGCACCAAAAGGAACTTTAGACATCAGACTGAGGTCAGTCAAAGGTCAAAGATAAATACAATGAGTTTGCCAGGCACCAGTCTAAACTGAACTGTACATTTAAATGTATAAGTATATTAAATAAAAAGTCCAAAAAATTAATGAGATAGGCCCTGATTCTGCTGCCCTTTTTCAGACAGAACTTCCCAGTTATGGACAAAAGGTTTCCAGGCACTGGAAGTCATAAAGACAGGAAGTTCAGCAGAAGTACAGAGACCATTTGGCTGTCTATTTTCCATATATTGTGTGTTCCTCTTCCTGCCCACTATTGAGGAACACATTTTCGGTCTACATTCATTGGTGAGGAGTAGCAGTTATGACCTGCTCTGTTCTACTGTCAAGAATGGAATTCCCAAAGTCCATTATTTTTTTTAAAAAAGTCATGACCATGAACACTCACCACACACAGAGGCCTTGTATTTAGGATACTATATGTGAAGAATGCAGTGAATACACATTCATTGTGATGGGCAGATGGTACTGGAAAAAGATATGCATAAAATCTCTGTTCAACTTCCTGAAACACCTGAGAAGGGGTGTTCTGGAACAAGTGACAATAGGAATGTATGGGAGCAGAACTATAGTGAGAGTCATCCTATCATGATGTGAAAGGGAAAGCAGTGTGGAGGCACTGGGCCTCTGTGCAAGTGCCCTTGCCCTCTGTGGGTTTTCCCCAGGGGTGAAAGTGGGTTTCACCCCTCTCTGTTCTGTGAGTTGGGGCTAATGCCACCACCTCCTCCCCCCATACCCTTCACTATTAAAATATGAAGGAAACTTCACAACAAATCTTGAGTTTCCTGGTCCCTTCTTGGGTTCTTTCCCACAAAGAGAGATGGTGCAGTCATTTGGACCACTATCAGTTTCTACCAACTAATATTCTACTCATTCACTCTTACCTTTGCTGAAGATTTTTCTGTGTGGGTAAGATTGTGGGACACTGTGCCACGTTTGTAAGTGCTGGAGGATTTGTATCCTGCATTTTTATGCTTTTGTGTATCTTGAGAGACTGGAAGTATAGAATCAGTCACTAAATACTCTGAATCTTCACAGGAAGTAAGAATTGCTTTTGCCATTTCATCTGTTTCATGTCGTTCTAGAGTCCCTAGGAAACAGAATAGAAGAGCTTGTGAAGTTTTTAAAAATAAAGTGTTATTTTAGATAAAAATTACAGCAGATTTTCAGCAATCACATTAGTTATTAATAGAATACACTAACTTTTATTTTGCCCTAATTTAACGAGATATAAATTTATTCTCAAAAATCTTTGCTGCAACTTTGTCAGACACAGAATGTATGGAACTTATTATGTATTGTACAATGTATGAAAGCATTTTGAAGGCCTTTTCAAAGCATGCACTGTATAAAACTGGAGAGAAAAATATTATTTGCCTTACTGTGTTCAAAACATTTCATTCTACCTTTCACTTTACACAGTGAGATCAATGTGTCATGTGTTATTCTTTAACAACAAAACCTGTATTTACTATATTTATTATGAACCTTGTAATCAATAATAAACACTTATGGCATATTTTAGTGCTGTCCTCTAGTGTTCTAGGTTACAAACAACAAGAGGAATCTATAAACTTTTCTTCCAGATTCCCAAGTAACATCTTTTCTCTATATTCGACTTTTTAATTCATAAACATTACTAGTTGAAAAAGTGGTGTTATAGTCAGGATTATGACAGTTTGGATCCAGAGATTTGGCTTTAATATTACTATCTGCATGGCTCAAGGGAATCTGGCTCAGTGCCTGGATTGTTATATCTGGAAGCAGAGATTGACAAGAATTCTGTTTCCCCAGATGATACATATTCTTTGTCTCTTCTCTTGCCTTTTCTTTCTTGTGTTTTTCCTTAATCTTATTTTCCATTTTCCTCTTTATTCTCACTTTATTTCTACCCACAATCCCTTCTGGCTAGAGTATTAACCATTAAAACTCAACATTTGCCTGCTCTAACCACAGTTACCATCGGTATTTTCTTCTTTAAGCTTAAGGAAAACCTGCAGTCATCTCAGATACCACTGTGTGGCACCTATAAATGATTATTTCTTAAAGGTGACCACTTAATTTACTATTACCTCCTTTCCCATTTTATTCTTCCAATTGATAATTGCCTAGATTATACAAATAGATGGAACATTGTCAGGAAGCAGAGATGATACAAGAGAATAAAAGCTTTGCATGGTATCTTGGACCACTAATGGTATTGATATTGGTAACCTTATTCACACATATGCCTCTACTGATTTCAGATCAATTAGATGGCTCACATGTGTTAGGTAAGTGATATTTGGCTTTTAATATATTTTTAAGTTAGGTCCAAAAAACCCCCCCAAAATGCCTCAACTATCTACAAGGGCTGGACTTTGACTTTAATTACACACCTAGAGGACTAAAAATCCCCTTTATAGCCATACACGTGATACTCAGACCATGAGTCCAGGCATGCAAAAGTAATTGGACATTGATCAAATTGTGAACTATTTGCACACACAGAAAAAATGGCGGTATTGGCACCAAATATTCAGATTCATTGTCTGGCTGCATTGTGCTACTCCTTTGGCATTAAAGCATCATAGACCTGGCATATTGGGACAAGTAAGCCTGATTTACAGCTGCTTTGCATTGCCAGAGCAGCATAATGCAGGCGCTGTGAATCTGTAAATTTGGTTCATTATTTGCAACACATAATTCAACCAGCTTTCGTATGCAAAATAAATTTTAAAACCTCACAAATAAACAAAAAATAACATGAGTATTCATGACCTAAAGAGGCTTGTTATATTTCTATGATTGTACTTTTTTTGTGAGCTGTACTAAGTATATGTTTAAACTGATCTTGGATAAAAATTGACTTGTTCTAAATGCAAATTATATTATATAGTATTTACATAAGTAGTTTAAACTAAGGTTCTTGTATATGCCACGTATTTCCCATCTAAGCAGAAATCACAAGAAATACTGATAGAAACTGCAAGTTTCCAATAAATGTCAGAGATGAAGGACATAAGGTATTTTAAAAGTACTAACCATTTGATGTGAAATGGTTTTTGTTTCTGGGTCTGAATTTTTTGTAGCCTGCAGTTATCCAACACAAATTTTCTCTTTCACTGCTACCAAATAAAAGTATGTAACACAGACGTCCTACCAGTAACAGCTGGTAAAAAAAATATTGGACAGGGATTGAGGGATCTCATAAGGTGTTTTTAAAAAAACTAAACTCATTTTGTCTGAAATTTTATTTCTTTGAAAACCCACCCTCCCCTTTCATCAAATATAATATCTTCTCCATGTCTTAGATTGGCCAATGGAGCCTTTCTTTAAATTCCAGGCAATGGGAAGTCAAAGGCCTGATTCTGCTCTCCTCTCAGTATGACTCCATTGATTTCAGTGGGGTTACTACCAATACAGATCAGTCTCAGGCGCAATAATTTATTTTGAAAAGTAAGTAGTTAAGTCCCTTCCCACAAGCTGCCAAAGCCAGAGTCCATCACGGGTACTGGTTATCTAGCACAGCAAGGATGGCAACGTTCCCAAGATCCAGGATAAGAACAGCCCAATGATCAGGCTATGTACGAACACCTCAAGCTAAGCTGTCTGTTCAATTATGTGCTCACGTGGGTCCCATCACTGTAGAGTCCGAGCACTTCTCAAACATTAATGCATTCATCTTCACAACACCCTGAGACGTAGGGAATTCTCTCTTACTCAGTATCGAAAGGCTGCCTCCTGCCTCCAACCAGGCCAGAAGGCCAGCCTCCATCGCCCACTTGTTACATTTTCAAAACAATCACCTTCACACTTTCTCCCATGTTGCTCATCACACTTGGGAGGAGCTCCCTGTAAACATCCACAGACTCACTCATTATCCTCTGTCAAATTTCTCCTTAAAACTCTCCTCTGCCATAAAGCCAACAAAAAAGTGGACAACCCTTAGGCCTCTGGTGCAGGGAGACCATGGTCTACCATGCTGACCAATATTTGTCTGATTGTTGCCTGGTATTCCCCCATCAGTCAGTCTGCATCCATTGGTTAAATTTTGTCTTGTACTTAGATTACAAGCTCTTTGGGGCAGGACCTGTCTTTTGTTCTGTGTTTGTTCTGCACCTAGCACAATGGGATCCTGGTCCATGACTGGGACTCCAAGGCATTATAACAATTAATATATCCGCATCGCCCCATTTTACAAATGGGGAACTGAGGCCCAGAGTGTGTCACATTAAGGGTAAAATTTACAAAGGGATTTAGATGCCCAAAGATGCAGACAGATGCCAAGTGGAATTTACAAAAGCACATTTGCAGGTTGGATACCTATTTCCCATTGAAATCAGCTCCTCTGGAATGAACTTGCCCCCTGTAAGCCTCATGTGCTGCTCTTGCCCACCTGTTTGCCCTTGCCCCTCAATCTTTTGCTCCTACTTCTATCTCCCCTAGAGGTGCCTTCCGTTTCCTCCTCCAGCTCCACCCCACAATGTGCTGCTGCCTCCCTCATCCCCCATCCCACACCTTACCCCAGGACTCAGCTCCCCACTTATCACAGGAGTCTTCAGAAGGGGGCACCAGAAATGACCTATCCTACTGCCTTCAGCCTCCCCCTACCCAGAACAGCCCAGCTCTGGACCCACAGGCAGACTGCCCAGGAATTGTTTCACCCCCATGGAAAGACCTTGATCATGGTAAAACCCTTCTCACTGGGGTGAAATTTCCCCTGGGCCAGCAGGTCCAGAAGTAGAGCTAGGCTGTGCTGGTTGAGTGGAGGCTGCATCCCTGTACCTGAAGATGGGGTGGGAGGAGAAAAAACTCCATAGGAGGAAACAGGGGTAGCAGCTTATCACTTATTGAGAGAGAACCAAGGGTGTTGTGGGAAACTTGAAGGGCCCATGTGGGAGCCAATTACTTGAAGAATTGGGACACTGGGAGTTTTTTGCCCAGAGAAAGGAGAGATAGATATAAGAGCTAACAGGCAGGAAAGTGAGGCTTCCACTTAATGCTGGGAAAACTCATCCTTCTCCTGGGTTCTACCTATGAAATCTAGAGCCTATGGTCATATGTCCTTTCCCTCTTGTTGCCTGGGGGCTGCCCTGGGGGATGTGACAGCTGAATTGCCCTTGAGCATGATGGGATGTGTGTGTGCGCACGAGTGTGTATGGAGTAGAGGGATATGTATGTAGAATGAATATAGTTGTGATGTTGCACTCCATATGTTTTATGGAAATATGTTTATAAGTGTGAATATAATGTAACTGGAATATGTTTTATGCAAAAGGTCTCTTGTAAGGTATCATTACAAAGCTTATAATCTACTATGTGTTCATCCTATTTGTATGATTGTATCATTCTTGTAGCTGAAGCTAGAAATATGAAGTATTACTCTCAAGTCCTATTGTAACTATGCAAAGTGTGGGCCATTAATGGTGGCTTGGAATCTTGATTGCTCCCATTAACTAGGACAATTGGTGGTAAAAGGCTCTGTTTACTTGTAAGCCTTCCTGTATACCTGTGTGCCAGCCAGTGAGTAATGAGGTCTTACAGGACATGTGACCACGTCACCTGGTACTGGAATCCATCTTAAACCTGGTGCTTTTCCATTTAGAAGGAGGTTTGGAGACCCGGAGAGACAAAAGGTTACCACCTTCTGCCAAAGCTATAAAAGGGGGTGGAACAGAACAAAGGGAGCTGCAGTTATGAGAAAACCATTAGTTACCACCTGAGCTGGAACTAACAAGAACTGTACCAGGGGAAAGGATTGGGCCCAGACAAGGAAGGAGTCTAGTTTGTGAAAGAAGCTTATTGGAACATCTCTGAGGGTGAAATTTTCCTGTATTCGGTTTCTTAACGTATTAGGCTTAGACTTGTGTTTTGTTTTACTTTGCTTGGTAACTTACTTTGTTCTGTCTGTTATTACTTAAAATCATTTAAATCCTACTTTTTATACTTAATAAAATCACTTTTGTTTATTAGTAAACCCAAAGTAAGTGATTAATACCTTGGGGAGCAAACAGCTGTGCATCTCTCTCTATCAATGTTATAGCGGGTGGACAATTCATGAGTTTACCCTGTATAAGCTTTATATAGAGTAAAACGGATTTATTTGGG